TTGCCATTTTTAATTTGGGCAAAGTCTCCTGATCCACTGACACTCACGGACAAGCGTTAGAGCCAGGTCATCAGTGACAGTTACAAAGATGCTAAGACCCCGTTCTGTGGCTTCTCACTCCCATGCTTATCCTCAGGCTGTGAGTGCTGAAACCGAAGGGCTGGGGAGCCAGTTGAGAGCTGAAAGGTTCGAATCTTCGGTTGTGTTGTGAGTCTCCCCTACCCCCACGGGAGACGAATGGGGCAGGTGGTTTTTACTTCATCTCAGGCCTAGCCAGGGCACTGTGAGGAGACAACATGGAGAGTCTGACTTGCCATAGCATCTTGCTTCCAGCCTCTCCTTGGGCCTTGGTGTCTTCTGCTTCTGGCAGCCAGAAGGTAAAACAAGAAACTGAGAAGGCACACCTGTCTTCTCAGGGGCCCTGGCCTAGAAGTGATCCGCATCCCTTCCACTCCCATTCCACCATTAGATGACCACACCTGGGTGCAAGAAAGGCTGGCAGAGGCCCTCCCTGGCTGGGCAGCCACGCCCCAGAAGCATCACACTACGGAACCAGCACAGATGCTTGGTACATAGCTGGCCACTGCTCCTATAAATAGCCTATTCATGGCGGCCTTCATTTTAGGGTAAGAATGTTGGAACCTGCCCGTTTTTTGGGGGGTAGATTTGGCACTCCAAAATACAAACATGCAGAGAGCTTTACTTGGGGCACTGGTGTTCAGCCTTAGCATTCCTCATTCTCAGTCGGTTTATTCAGTGTTCAAGACAAGCAACCGTTTTCTTTTTGGCCAGGAGTCAAATGCCAGTTGGTATTCCACGTATTCAGGAATGGGAGGAGAGGGAAGGGAGTGTGTCCCAGACACACTTCCAGTTAATCCCTCCATTTCAGCCTCCCCTCTGCCTCCTGCCACCTGCGTCTGAAACTTCTGTGGCTTCTCACTCCCCTGCTTATCCTAAGGCCGTGTGAGACTAACTCTCTCCTGCACTGAAGCCCCTCCTGCATATTTTGGGCTTTCTTATCTACTCATTCTTTCTTATCTACAACCACAGGCAGCTTTCTAGTCTCTTTCCATCTTCCACACATTTGTTTTATTCCTTCACCCACTGGCAGCTCCCTTTCTCTTCTCTTGACTATTCTGGGCTTTTTGTCCCTGTGTTGTCACTGGGCCTCAGAAGGTAGGAAAGTAGGGAAGGCAAAGCTTTTTGCAGGGTTGACTGGATGGATCTTGAAGCCCCCAGAACAATTTCCTGTGGAAAGTTCTGAGTTTCCTTGTAGGAAACTTTAGAATATTTGTCCAGTGTTCTCTTTGGGTTCTTTAATTTTCTTTGAGAATGTAACTTGACTGTCTGCTCACTTGTTTTTAAAGCATGTATAGATCCAGCATCTCCGATATTAGCTTCCTATTCTCTCATCAGTGAGCACAAGCCTGAGAGTCCACACGGGAGGGTGACATTTTGGGAGGTGTGTTTGAGAATATTTGTCTCAGTGGCTCTTCCAGCTCCTTTAAACTTCTGTCCTGTTATCCTCGCCCGTCCATAACTACCTTGGTTGAATTGTTTCAGCGTCACAGCCTCCACTTGAACAAAACGGTTGAGAAGAAGCAACCTTTCCTGTTAGTGCAATTGCTTTAGAAGTTTTTAAAGGACACGATCTTCTCCCTTTATCACTCAATGAGACATTTTTTAAGCAAGTCATCACTACAAAAACCTGGGTCCTCCTGAGGTGATGTGCTTCCTCCTTTCCGATGAGAACTGTGCAACTGGCCACATTTTCCTTTATCATCGGTGCTTAGTGTCTCTGGTCTTGACTTTCTGCTCTTCCTTTAAACTGTGATGTCTCTGAGATCATGTAAATTGAGAGAGAACCCAGTTGGCAGTTGGCTCCCATTCTCCACCCAGCTGCAGTTCTCAACTAGGGACCAGTTTAAGGTGGTATCTTCTTCAGGGTAAAAGATCTGAAAATGACTATTTTGTGATAACTTGGGGCTTTCTCAGTTCATTGTATTGTGCACATTTGTAATAACTGGTCTATTTCTTACATATTTCATAAGTGAGCACAAATTACATATATAATAACTGGGAGACTAATTGAAAAGGGATCTTTTCTTTAACATTTTGATAATGTGAATTTCATGTGATGGAACTTTTGGATTCCACTTATAGAGAGTTTTACTATAGCTTCCTTTATTATTAAATATTTGATTCTACTGGATCTCAAAAAAAATCATATACTGTTTACTGAGAGAGAGCCACATACATTTTATGTTGTGTGCATTATTATCTAAATATTTTTAGTGTAAGACACCTCAAAACCTTTATAGGATAAGGCAAGGTATAAACACATGAATATAAAAATAGAATAAAAGTAAAACAAAGTAAGAAGATTAAGGAAAGGAAAGTAAAAGACTCGATTGTACTTTGGGATATGTCTTCTGAATATAATAATTCAGTTTCCATATTCTTTCCATAACAGAAAACCCTATTATTTTTTCTCTTTGAAGATTTATTTGAAGACATACAAAATAGCACACCACTTGTACTGGGTTGAATAGTGTTCTGCCAAAATTCATGTCCACCCAGAACCTCAGAGTATGATCTCATTGGAAACAGGGTCTTTGCAGATGTAATCAGTTAAGATGAGGTCACACTAGATTGGAGTGGTTTTCTTGTAAGAAGGCCGTGTGAAGACACAGAGAGACACACAGAAGGGAAGGCCATGTGAAGAAGGAGGCAGCGATTGGAGGGATGCAGCTATAAGACCAGGATTGCTGGCAACCACCAGAAACTAGGAGAGGGGCCAGGAAAAGATTCTCCGTCAGAGCTTCCAGAAGAAGCCCACCTTGATTTCAGATTTCTGGCCTCCTAAACTGTGACAGAATAAATACCTTTTGTTTTAAGCCACCCAGTCGTTGTTAATTTGTTACAGCACATAAATGGAGCATCTAGTGGGTACTCCATAAATAATGGCCAATTAATGCCCTTCCAAAGGGAGAATTGTCTATTGTAGTCTAAACAAGAGGCACTTTCACTTTAAACAAAACACATTCTGACAAAGAAAAGCTTTTTTTCTCTTCTTTCCATCTTGCAAAAAGAATACTGTGGTTTAATAGAAAATGCTTTTCTATTAGTTGCATTTTAAAAAGTTTTGATCTCAATATTACAGACATGAATTATAGTAAAAAAAACTTACATAACTAAGAGGGATCAAATTTCAAGCTTCAAAATACTACTCACCGATAACATAAAGAGATTTTATCATTTATTTTCTGTCAACAACTACAGCTGGCGTGGTGCATCCATTACATCGAGTTTCATTAACTTGACTATTTCTGAAAGATACCAGTGAGACAGATAAACGATATTTGTAACACATGATAAAAAGCAATGTATTTCTTTGGTTAGTGAGCTTTCATGATATTGTAGGACATAGAGAAAAAAAAAGTAAAACAATGATAAAATAGGAATAAGTAAAACTTATTTTTTTCACTGTATTTTTCTAAATCATGAATGTATTTTATTTAGAATGGATCTACATACTTTGCATATTCAATAGATAAGTATGTAATGAGCTTGGGGACAAATATTAGTTGAGTAAATTATGTTTATAGAAAAATGCCTACACTATGGTCCATAAAGACATTCTTAAGCTGTCATTCTGATGTTCTATCACCCTCTACTGGTCATTGGGCCAAATTACATTTAGTGAATTTCATAACTAAAAATTTTTTGTTCATTTGCTAAATCTAAAAAAAATCTGCTCATGAATAAAAAATATATTGACAATATGTACTTCATAAATCATCTGTTTGTGTCTCTATCATTAGTTTGTGAGTCCTCAATGGAAGTTAGAGACTCACTTATCCTTGTATCTCTAGCAGCTAGCATAGTGCTGGCTGAGTATCTATATTCAGTAAATGGTGGATAAATGAAACACTGAGGCAATTTGTATAATTATAACAGTCTTTATCATTAGTTTGTGAAGTTCTTTGTTTCATAAATATCACCATATGGATTTATAGAAAATTAGTAGTTATTTTCAAAATATTGATTTCATATAAAATGCCCAAATTATTTTAACATCAATATAGTTTAACAGTTTCAAACCTATGTTCATAGTCATTTTTTAAAATATATTTTGATTGATTTCAGAGAGGAAGCGAGAGACAGAAACATCAATGATGAATCATTGATTGGCTGTCTCTTGCACGCCCCCTACTGGGGATCGAGCCTGCAACCCAGGCCTGTGCCCTGATGGGGAATTGAACACGGGACCCTTCAGTCCTATGCTCTATCCACTAAGCCAAACAAGCTAGGGCGGTTTATGGTCATTTTGATTGTAATTTAACCTGGGTATTTTTCTGGTTACCTGTTATTCTGACTAGCTGTGGATTATTGAGGATGTTTACTGGTTAGATGGAAGACCAGAAACAATGGTGGCTGCGGGCCTGGGTTTGTTTCTGTTTCACAGTAACATGGTCCAGAGGCTGATGTCATTAGGATCCCACGTTCTGTCTTCCTGCTCCATCACCCCTAAGCTGTGTGTACTCGGTGGAGCAAAGAGGTGCAGAGCCTTTGGGGGAGAAGACTAGAATAAACTGTATGTCAACGCTTCAGGTCCATAACTGTCAGTGCTCGGTTCCTCCAGAACCCCTCACCCTGCCTCCTGTAATTCTCCAGCGCCTGGACTTTAGAAAGCCCCAGACATGGCGGAAACGCACGCTGTCCCAGCAGACAAAGGGAACAGTGTCCGGATGGAGGGCCTGGTCCTCAGTGTCTACACAGGCCCAGGATTAAATCGGGGAAGGGTTTCAAAGCGCCCCCTGGATGTTGTGACTAAGACATTAGGTAGGGCGGTGGCGCCAGGAGAAAAGTGGGAGGTGAGGAAGCGGACGGGTTTTTGGAAGCACCCAGGTCGTAGAGGAAGGATAAGAGAGAGACGGGAATGCAGGGAAGGCGGTCCTGCCCTCTCCCCAGGGTCAGTGGGGCCCAACTGCAGGGCGATGACCTTCCCTGGGAGGAGCGGTGGCACCAGGTCAGAGCAACTCACCTGCCACAGGCATGGGGTCAGCGCCGGGAGACGCTGGACACGGAACTGCACTTCCAGGCACCACACCATCCTCTACTTCCGGGTCTCCTTCCGGGTCAACCGGAAGTACCGTCCGGTTGGCACCACGCTTTTCAGCTTCCGGTCGCGTGGTGCTTGGCAGGGAGGCCGTGTGCCCGAGGGTCGTGTCTGAGCGCGCCCGCCCGCCCGAGAGCCCAGAGGCGCGGGCATCCTGGCCCCGGGAGGCTGAGAACCCGGAACCACAGTGGCTC